TAATACATTATTATTATTTTTGTTATTACAGTGGTGCATGGTGGGAAGACAAGAGGCAAGGGGCATGAATTGAAAACATCAAGGAGTCCAAATGGATTGAGACAGTCAAGTACTGGAACAGGTTTCTCAGAGGTTGTGCAATCTCTGTCCTTGGAGATTTGTCTGGATAAAGTCCTGACCTCATCACTGACCCATTCTGAGGAGTAGGTTAAACTAGAGATCTCCTGAGTTCCCTTCTAACCTGAATTACTCTATGATAAAAAATTTACATGCATTTATGTACAAAAGTTATTTTCATACAAGTTTTAAAGATCATTAACATAAGGTCAGTTTGGTTTGGTTAAATCCTCTGTCTTAAAATATAGAAAAGCTTTTGAGGAAAGTATAGAACAGTTCTACAGAAGCTCTAAATTGCTGTTAACTCAATCTTTCCTTATTTGGTTCTAGAAAGATTTGTCTTACCTGCTGGTAATCCAGATGTAGAAAGGTGCAACACAAGACCAAGCCTACCATAGTAACTTTGGTTGATGCGATTGGCTTGTCTTTCCAAGGTTTATATTGATGGTTTTGACTCCCCAAATAATTACTTGAGTTATAACCAGCTGTATCAGTCTAGAGTCCCTAACATTGCTCCTTTGCTCCAGTATCCAGGTATTGGATGTCATCATCAAATAAGATGCAGAAGTGTGCAAAAAATCAGCTACACTGAAGACAATAACATTTCAGCTGTTTCAAAAGGATGAGGCTTTCATTTACAGTCTTCAACTATTATGCCAGTTACTTAAGAGATAATTTCAGTGCATATTATGAAAGTATTTTTAAACCAAAGTGACAGTTTTTGCAGACAAGAATTGCAATCATCCAAGCTAAAGAGAGAGAAAAAAAAAAAGTAGTAAGGTAATCCTGGCCACTCTGATCATTCTAACTACCTTGGCCATGCTGATCACAGTAAATGTCAACAAGTTCTCACCTCTTTTCATAATAGATCATGAAGCCAGGAAATCAAATAATTGTGAACAACTTTTATTAATTGAGGATTGAATTGGGGTGACTGCAATAACAAGAAAATGAGAGAAAACATCTTTGACAATAACCTTGTTTCCCAGTGTGTCACAATGAGTATTTCTAAAGAGGAAAACACAGTTGGAAAAAAGCAGTTTTACTTTAGAAAGCCATCTAGCTACATATTTTGGTATTTGACAAATAACTCACAGGAAATACATTTGACAACTAAAATAACAAATCCTAAATGCTTTTTTGGTTTTATTAGTCTTCAATCATGCTGATTTTATTCAGCATTCTTTGGTCCTCAGTCAAAGGATAAGAAAACTTTTTATTTTAAAGAGATATTAAATGTCAAACTATTTTGCAGATATTTCAAGTCTTGAGAAAAGGACAAAATAGTACTTTGTTGCTTTTGTGACATAGAAGGCAAAAATGGTTTTATATTAACACTTTTTACTTCTTTTGGTCAAATTGCTAAAATCAACCCTCGTCATACAAAAAAACTGAATACATCTCGACTGTACTTTGTATACTGCTCTCCCTGAGACTATGAGTAACAGAAATTACTTTGGGCATATTTTTAAAAGTGCCTGAATGAATCAGAACACTTTTTCTGAATTACTTTATTTTTAATAAAAATTAGATTTTATTCAGGACTAGGCTGAGTAGCTCAGAATTGCGCACGAATTAGAAATATATTTTAGCCTTCTACTCCATGGCTTGCATCTTCTATCAAAGGGCATTTTGCTACTGACATGTGACACGGCAAGCACAAGACTTTATTTCCTTTCCTTAATGTTTGTTCACCTATGGAGCAATTTATAAACCCCCCAGGAAAGACTCCCCTGCCTGGTCCCCAGCTCCAGTCAAGGACCTGCAAACTCTGCGTGCCTTCTGGCTTCCTTTTATTTCCCCATCCTTGGGAGAGCAACACCCTGTCTTCCTAGATTTTGATCTACCCTCTAGTAGTCTTAAGGGAGAACAGTGTGACAATCAAAGTTTCTTTTCTGGGATTTGAAAGATTGTTTCATGGAAAAGAGCAGAGAAAACTGTAAAGATATCTGCAACAAAACCAGAATTTTAATGGTGAACTTCTGAGATCAGGTAGACTTTTATGGAAGTGCTGTGGGGAGGGGAGGGTATGTTTAGATGATTTGGCACACAGCAGAATAAAGTAATTATTGTATTCCCTCTGTGCATTGCACAGAAATTGTGTCATTTCATGCATCATTCACAGCTCTCATTACTGATACCACAACATCTAAATTACCCTGAGCGTCAACAAAACAAATACCGCTTTGGCTAGCTGAAGACTTGAAAACTTGTGAGTGGACGTTACGGTTTTCATTTTTGCTATGATGCTATGCAGAGCTTCCAGGTTTGATCTTGAAAAATGTAAAATAATGAATATTTCTGCCTGAATAACCTATTTCTCTTATGTAAATGTTGCTAGTTTGTGCTAGAAGCAAGGGTTACTTCTCATATTTTTAATTTTGTATGCTTATTTAGTGGGAAAAGCAGGCAGACTGCAAAAATGCAGATATTCCACTACAGTTGCAACACTGCTGTTGTTCTCACAGCAATGGTTTCTTACAGTTCAGCCGTGTGAGGACAACTGAAATCTTGTATCTGGGGGGAAGTGAAATGGCACATCATGGCAGGGGAAGATATAGGGAGTCGGCACAGAGATGGTAAAATTATTTTCAGTAGAACAAAGCCTCTTGATTCAGACTTTGTGTCTTCTTGGGCTTCTGCATACAATGCCGGGAAAGGAAAGGTGCAAGAGTAGGTCATCTGGCAGTTGTCCTGCAAAGACATCTTAAACTTTCCAAGATCTGACTGCTAGTTATGGTATGAAATTTGAAGGACGCACTGAAGTGGTGGTAGCAGCTTCTGGATGGAAGGACCTGGCTGTGTGCCTCTAATACAGTCTTCCATACATAGTCAACAGTGATCCATCCTGGGTAAAGTCCTCTACCAGATGGGTTCAGTTCACAGTGTGTGGGTGGGATTGCACTGTCTCTGTAGCTCCATGACTATACTGAATCAACACTGTCTTCCCAGAGGTCATAATCAAAGGAAATATTTTATAGAAATCTCCTTAAAGAGCATCTGAGTGAGTTTAGCACAAGGATGCAGGTCTGGATCATCTTTCTCTATACCATTTCCAGGTTTTTCACTGTCAATACATGTGCACTTCATGGGCTTGCTTTGAAGTTTTTCAGTGTAAAGGTGAAAGGTTGGATTCAATATGCTGCTGTAGTATGGACTCAGGTAACATTTAGTTAAATGGATTGTATTCAATACCTGACCAAAATTCTTCATTAAATAATACAAAGTATTTTTCTAGGATAATCTCACTTTTGTTGTTCTGACAAATGGGCATAAAATTAGTGCTTTATACTTATCAGATCAAGCATTTCTGACCACCGTATCAGTTAGTAGTGACTCTATGGGTCATGAGTTAAACTTTCTGATGCTTAAACACAACACATTCCTGTGCTGACACCACCAGGATGTGTTATCCATGTGTTTACATCTGTACTAGTTAATACCTGGTCCTTCTGTTGCTGACACAGCTTCCACATATTCGATGTTGCTGCAGTTTGGGTTTTACTGTCCTCTTTCCAAATACTGGGTTAAACCTTAGGTTTTTTTCTGAACTCAAGAGCATTGAGGAAAACAGGTATCTTTAATAAGGTACTCTGAAGGTTACAGAGGTCTGTCCACATCCCCAGACATCTCACTGAAATAGCTACTGATCATATTTTTTTTTTCTTTTTAGAAGCTGATGGCTCAGAAATTTATGTTATTAGCCACACAGGGGAAACCAGCTTTTAATTTTCATAACTTACCTATTTTGGAGTTATTTGAATTTCTTTCAACTTGTTTCTATTATTTGGACAGAATTAGTGACAGGACAAGAAGAATGAAAAATGGCTGAGTTCTTACTACCTGATACCAACAACTTTCGTAAGTTCACTTCTGAATCCTTGGCTGCCATCAAAAAGAGAACTGCTGCCAAGAGCTGTCACAGAAGAAATACTATAGACCAGAAACCTGAGGAGAAACCACGTCCTCAACTTGACCTGAAAGCTTTCCAGAAGTTACCAGCTCTCTATGGAAACCCCCCACCAGAGCTCATTGGGGAGCCACTGGAGGATCTTGATCCATACTACAAAGATCGTAAGGTTAGAGCCAACTGTGACACTTTGATTTTAATTTGTCTTATTGTGTTGCTAAGAAGAGTTTATGTGAATGATCAATTAAAACAATTTTGCTTACATCCCTTTGGAAAATGATCATCCCTTTCTAGATTATAATAATGTGTACAGTTGGCACAGCTGAATGACATGCTGTAATCTTCTTTAGAAAAGCTTAATTTTGAATCATAGGAATTAAATAGTAAGAACTTGATTACCATTTGAATCAGAATGGAAGCAGAAAAAATAAAGTGGATAAAGGAAGAAAAGGGGGGGCTGAGTCAAATCTACAAGAAATTATAATTTTGTAAATTTTCTTAAATGTCATGACTTTAAAACTATGTTCCTCTCTATCTCAATGTTATGCTCCACCTACATGTACAATAAATGATCACCTATGTATAAAAAGCATTTTAAAATATTTCCTGATGAATCCTTAAAACCTTTTTCAATCCTTAAAAACTAATTAAAGCTCCATATTCTAGTCATGAAATACTGAAGAATTTTATTTTCAATACAGAACAGAGAAATGGGAGATAATCCATTGGAAATTATGCCTATTGCTTGAGAAATGGTTAATTCTTTAAACTAATTTCTGCAGTCTTAGAGCTAGAGGATCACTATCAACAACAGCAAACAATGTTAAAGGTTGCAGGTTTTCCTTCACCTCTGTTTATCTTGACTCAATGAGAGATTCTATTTGAGAGAATAGTCATAAGCAAGACTAGTTCTGTGCACAACTCTTTGCACACCCTAAGGTTTAAAAAAGAAGTTCATGCCAAGGATTTTTTTACAGCTTTACAGTTAATGGGTATTAAATCTCTCACTTTATGATGAAAAGATAGCAAAATATTACAGAGTCTTCCCATTTTAACACAGATTCAAGTTAAAATCAAGCTCTTGCTCATCACTGATGCAACAAGGATGTTCTCTGTTCAAGTTCCTGAAAACTTTACTTCATGGTTTGTTTTGTTTGTTTTTTTTTAAGATCTTCATAGTGCTAAACAAGCAGAAAACAATCTTCAGATTTACTGCTACACGTGCCTTATGGATCCTCAGTCCTTTCCATCCAATTCGAAGAACAGCAATTAAAATTTTAGTACATTCATATCCTTTTCTTGGCTTCATTTGCTCTTCTTGAGTACAAATCCCTCTGTAATCCCATGCTTGTGTATTTTAGAGCATTGAATTAATTTAGTCTTTTCCTCACTCCACATTATTTCTAATCCTGAACTACCTTAGAAATTATTATTGACTTGTTGCTTTTGTGCTACTCAGAAATAAATAATGAGTACTGGGAGTATTGAAGCCTAATTTTTCTACAGATACGTGTTTTGAGAATGATCTCTGATGTTGACTTCCTGATGTCTCATAAACAAGTACCTCATGATGAAGCCTTTCTCCATGAGAAGATGAATAAGATCTCTATCCTCTCTCTCCTAGACTGTAGGAAATAAATTCAACTCACATACCAAAGCTGATCAACCACTGGCCAGTTTAAGTAAAGAAAAAATATGCAAATTCCGTTTCTTTAAGAAATTGGATTAAAAAAAATATATCTTACGTATATGAAAGTGAAAATTTCCAGGAATGCTGTTGCAGGAAATGCCTTTGAAATGTAAAGGTAATATACATCCCATCTCATACATCAAATTTAGGGGGCAAGGAGTCATTAGTGTATTGCTCCAGTTTGGCACTGGGGAATGAGACCAGAGCTGTTGCTTGGGGCTGAATCAGGCCCAGTGCAGTCTGCAGTATACCTGTATGGATTTTAGGTTTCCAGCCATCTCCGTCTCTGTGGAACTGAGTTAGATGCAATGGGTCCAAAGTTGACATTGTATCATTGTACAGACATCCTTGGAGGAGTGATGTCTATCATTTGAGACTTTACCTGGGCAGCAAGATGGCCAGCTCCTGGGTTTATGACAGTTTGACAATACCTGGAGCTAAAGCCTGTGACTGATAGAATATTTAGTTGCATTTCTGAATCAATGTCATATTCTTTGCCTTCACTCCCACGACTTACATTATTCACTTTGTTTATCATGGGCACTATTATAACTAACTGTGTATTCATGGCTCTGACTGAGTCCTCTAAGGCTTCTCCACCTCCTTTGTGGAACAAGTATGTTGAGTAAGTATTTGGGGGTATGTATGCCTTTTAATTCTGTGGTTACATTGAATTACTGAGACTTATCTTGCCCCCTTCTCTCAAGATAGTTGGTGGGGGATAGTAGATGGAAAGTTGCTTAAGACATTTGTTTTTCTTTGAGGGAGTAGTTTTCTCTTTGAACTCAATACCTACAATATCTGTGGTGTTATATGGGTGTTACAATATCTGTGGTGTTATTGGGGTGTTACAGTATCTGTGGTATTTGCAGAGAGAGTAAGTGTAGGTTAAGTTCCACTGTTGAACTAGCTTCGTGTCTGTCCTACTGCTCCAGTTTGTTATCCCATTTCCAGAAGTTACTCAGTAATTACTTACTGTTTATCCAGACACGTTTCCCATTGTCGCTGATGCTGATGAAGCACATCAAGAGCTGGGTTTTTTTCAAAATTCTTTTTAATAATGTTGAAATGCTGCATTTTGCTCTAAGAAAGTATTCTGTCAAAAGCTCCTGGCCTGCAGGATGCCGCTAGAAAGTGAAACTCATACCTTCAGTGCTGCCAGCACTTGCAATGTTAAGTCACAATAAATCCTGTGCTTTTGTAGTAACACTTGAGCTGGATAATCCTATGTTTTTACTTTTTTAAAAGAATATTTCAGCTTTTATTTTTTCTATTTGGCATAAAATTGTTAGAATATGATAATTCCAACACCTGATGCAAAGGACAAGGTTCCAAAATACTTAGTTTTAAAAACAGGTCTGAAGTTGTTTCTATCTCATGTTACATGACACTGAAACAGTTGGGAATGGCAAATCCTCAGCAAGCATGGTATTGATATACATATCTCTAGAAGATGCTGTGATACCTCACTACCTATGAGAATATTAAAGGTTAAATAAAAGTTGTAGCTGCTATTGGCATCAGGACTGCTGTTGAAATGCATTTCAATAATAATTTCAGAATATTTCTTTCCAAATGAAAAGGGAAGCACTACATCCAAATAATTTCTTAGTGCATTTGCTGACTACAAAATGAATGCCTTTTGAATTCTGTAGGGAGATTGCTGCCTTGCTGAAATGAGAAATGCACTCAGTAAGTACAGGAGAGCTTTTACTGATAATTTTCCATTAATAAGAATAATTGCCATCTTAAATTGAAAATCCTTTACTCTTATATTTATCTAAGTGTTTCAAACATTCTGCACAGAAATGGATGCTGCGTGTCCAAAGTAAATAATACACAACATATCATACATTCACTTAGCCACTTGAAACCAGAGGAAGACAACAAGTTTTGATCTTTATTTAGCAAGTAGCTAGGAGTTTTGTGTTTCTTAAACTATGGGGATTCACATGAAAGAATTTGGAAAAAATAGTGGAATGCCAAAAAACCCATGTCACAGGTGTGTACATCAATAGCCATGTACAGGTTGCAGTCAGCTACAGTCTCGAAGTCCATATGAGTCAGATACTGATAGAATACACTCAAACCAACAGCCACCTTTCCATCACTTCTCTGCAGCATTGGCTTGGTTTGTTGGTTTAGACAATGAATAGTCTGATGGTCTCTTCTGTTAATTGCTAATATTGCCGTCTTCCTTTGGCACTTTTTTCCTTTCCTTAGATTTACTTTCACTGGCATTTACACTTTTGAATCATTGATAAAAATATTGGCAAGAGGATTCTGTCTAAATGAATTCACTTTCCTTCGAGATCCCTGGAACTGGTTGGATTTCAGTGTTATTGTTATGGCGTAAGTGGGAATACATAAAATATGGATTATCTGTTTGAAGTGTCTTATTGATGTGGTGCAAAAGGCTGTTTGAAGAACAAAAACCAACCTGTGGGTCCTAATTGCATCTGAAACTATCTAGGACATTGAATCTTCTCCTTGTTTTATTAGTCACTGTATAACAACAACGTATTAGTCTTTCAAGAAGGGAATAGAACTGTTTAGAGTAAGATATACTCTGTGGTGAGTATACAGGAATGGATATATTTCAATCAACGAAATGTAATAGCTGGGCTGTGTAATACAGCCATACTAATTCTGTGAAGTGTAAGAGAGAAAATAAAGTGATATGTATAGACACTAGGATGGTGAATTAAATTTGTGGTCTTTGTCTCCATAAATCATAGTTTGAGCTTCAGTTTGTGGTAATTAGAAAGCTTTTATACTGGTTAAGTAAGCCTACAGATGAGAGATCAAAACAGTTCAGCCAGTGTTTCCACCTGAAATGAATAATTTTAAGAGTTATCTTTGTTTATATTTTAAATACATGATACTGAAGATGCTGACACAAAAGTGCACAAGCCAAAATCTACCTCATAAGAAACTAATAATCAAGAAATGGGTTTCTATTTTATAAGTCTTCAGACGAATTTTTGCTGTGTAATTTATTAATACTAAAAATATGCTCAGAAGGATTGACAGTTCAGAATGACCACTCTAAAGTAATTGCCTTGTTTACTCCTATTAACCACTTGACATATAATGTCCTGACTTTACAGATATGTGGGAGCATTTAGTAACCTGGGGAGCGTGTCAGTCCTTCGGACTTTCAGGGTTCTGAGAGCTTTAAAAACCATTTCAGTAGTCCCAGGTGAGAAACCCTATTTGCTGAATATTTTCTGCTACTTATAAGTGATTCTTTGCTCCAATCAAAATGTTAGGTTTGCCTTTCCATTCTTTTTTTTCCTTTGAACAGACTTTACTGTTAACCATATTACATCATCCCTGGGAAAATAGTTTCCTTTTCACTTTTCCCTTAGTTATAATGCCAGTAGATTCTTTCTCATGACGAAATACAAATTAAGAACCAGTGGGTTGGCTCTGTTTTCTCTTTCAGATCTTTTTGATTATATCCATTCTTGTTTCCAGTTTCTTCAGAGATTACCAGTGTTGGAAATTTCTTTTTTGAAATTTCTTTTGAATTCCGCATATTACTTTTTCTGGATAAGAAAAACTGGACTGTTTTGGGTGCCTCATCCTTATCCAAATATTTCATAAGGATTAAAGGAACACCTGGAAATTTTAGAGTCAATCAAATGAGGAAAAAAAAAGGTTTTCATTTAATCTGTCATCCAAACTATACTTGCATTGCAAATATATTTGCCATGTATTCTCCAGTAATTTTGTTACTTTGGTTGCTATACACTGTTTTATCTCTAATCAAGCACGATGTATGAATCTCAGTTTTTTGTGCCAGTTTTGTTTTGTTTATTGTCTTCCTAGGACTCAAGATCATTGTAGGTGCGCTTATCCAGTCTGTTAAGAAACTTGCCAATGTGATGATCCTGACTGTTTTCTGCCTGAGTGTCTTTGCTCTCATTGGTCTCCAGCTTTTTAAGGGCAATCTAAGACAAAAGTGTGTGAGGAACTCTACAGAGTTCAGTAAAATACCTTATTTCCTTAACAAAACATGGGAATCCTATGAAATGTTTGCTAATGATACAGGTAACTTTTCCTCCTTAATTCCTTTTTAGATGATAATATAGACATCTATGAATGCACATATAACCACTGCTGTAAATTATATTGATGTTTTGGTGGCTGATATTTTGATGAGTAACCACCTGATAATGGCCTTCATATTGCTAGAGCAGCTTGCAGGCATCCAGGAGTGCATCCCTTCCCTCATTGTAAGAAATATCACTCCCAAATTTTCCAGTAACGTCCAGCTCTGTTTCCCAGAATGATACGGCAATAACCGAAATATGTACTAGCTCATTCTCTGCTGTAATCCCCAAGCGTTCACCTTCTGCTACATGCTGAAGTGTCCATACATCTTCATTTTGCTGCCCAGTGTGACACAGCTGCTCAGTTTGACACAGAGGAATTTGTTTAAAAGTCAAAGTTACTTTCTTCTTTACATCCTATGTATCTTCTTTTTATGTCTTATGTAAGATATATACAATATACATCTTTCATGTATACAACTAAGTCTGGTGATGGAAGAATTGAGCAGAGAACTGAAAATGCACCAAACCATTCTCAGAGGAACAGCAACTATAAGATTCAATTCAGTAAGAAAAATCCTTGTGCTAAAGGAAAAGCCTCACTATACATGAAAAAATACAAAGTAAACAAATCTATGCCAGAAATAAGAATAAAGCTTCATCACTGAAGAAAATCTCCACCAGAGAGTTCAGACATAGCAGTAGTTATACAAGGAGAGAAGCATTCTCGCAGGGGAAATGCTGAAGTACATAAAAAAGCCACACAGGATTTCTGTTTGCATACACTCTGTGTGGAAGATTTGTTCAGACAGGATTTCTTTAGTAACTTCATAGTCCAGTGGGAGAAAGTCTTTGTATGAAAGATTTTTGAGGAAAAACTTTTTGCAAGAAACTTTTGCACCTACAAAAAACGTACCTGAGAACAGAGTCATTTACATATACAGAATGTGTAAAAATCATAATTGAAAACAAGTTTCAAAAGAAACCAGGTGGTAACTGGAATACCACACAAGAGACCATGTATGTGACAAAATTTGGATTAAAATGTTAATTTTTTTTTCTGAAGAAACAGGAAACAAAATACATTTTGTGTTCAGGGTAATTTGCAATGATGGTAGAAAGAATAGGAGTGTCCAGAGAGATTTAATGAAAGCTAGGTGACTTTCCCACAGGATTTAGGACTTACAGCCCTATAAGCCCAGCTTTGAATTCAATTATTTTTTTATATGATTTTTTATGGGCTGCTTTGATCCAGATTTTGTGGGAAGTTCACAACTCCTACCTGGAGAACTAGATGTTATTATGATTCTCTGAAGTTCTATCACTGAATCTTCTTAAAAAAACCTTTTTGTTGGTTGGCAGGAACAGAACTGAACAAAAATTGGGTGGAAAGTAGCTGAGATAACAACTCATTCCTTTGTGGTGTGTTAACACGGTATGGTACAGCTGATACTAAAGATTCCTTTTGGCTCTGAATCATGCCAACTTACCTGATGAGCACAGCTGAGGTTTGTGAAACACCAGGAAGACATGAGGCCTCTCTTGCATCTGGGACAATAACCCCACATCTTAATGGGGCTAAATAGCTAATAGCACTAAAGCTATTACTTTCAGTCTGCTACTAGCTCAGGCAGCAGAGTAACTAAAGCTAAGAGAAGTAGGTAAAGAGGTCAAAAAGGCTACTAGAGCATCCTAATGGAGAAATCTGTATTTCTCAGCTAAGCAAGTGCCATGACATGGTGTGTATCCAAGTTCTTCCCTCTCAGAACAGAGATTTGTTTTTTATTGCCCAGTAGAAGTGGTCTATGCTATCCCAAATTACGTTTGTAGACTGACCTGGGAGAGGGCTAACTGTTATTGGTGAAAAAGAGTTTGTGCTATTACCAAACCAGGGACTGTGTTTGAGCCTGTGCCCTCCAATCCTTCATTTCCTTTATACAGATGAGGCCAAAGCAATAGTATTTTTTGAAATTTTAAGGACTGCCTGCACTTCGAAATTTGTGCATACACATAAATAAGGACAGCTTGCAATCTGATGCAGTTACTGTGAGTGTAGGAAACCTATGTGTGTGCACATACACTTACAGGTCGCTGATTGCTTGTCACTGCTCACATTAAAGGGTAGAAGATTCAGGCTTGCAAGTGATTTCTTTTTCACTTTTTTCCCCCCTTTTTTTATAGCATACTTTGCTAAAAAAGAGGGCACCTCAGATATTTTGCTATGTGGCCCTGGTGCTGGGTAAGTACACTTAATATTTCTTGTTTGGAAGTTTTGTCTGTCTTAGTGCTTCCATATTGGCTCAGTCATATGAGACATAAGCAGAAATTCCAAGCTTTCCTTAAATGCAGAAACATGCACCCAAACAACAAAACATAGTAAACAGTCAGATAACTTACAAGGAAAGAAACATGAACCTGCAGCTGGCTTATTCACGTCTAAATTTCTTTGAGCCTTTCCAGAAGCGCTATGTTTCTCTTCACCATGGATGTACAAGAGAACTGAAAACATGAAAGATCTCAGATATAGCACAGGACAGATATGCTCCTCTCTGAAGGCTCATGAGTGTTAAACTGGAAAAACAAAACATGGACTTTGGAGGGCAGGTTTGGGCAAGGAGGGAGATATGGCTACTTTACAGTGAAGGGTAGGGGATGAGGAAATTGTCCTGGGTTGGTGGTCTGCTCCAGCCTCTCTTCCTTTGCTGCTGGGTTATGGGTGGTGCTTCTTCCATCCCACTTTCTGGACAATGCTACCTGGAGTAGACAATGGGTTTGCAGTCTAATGAAACACAAAGCTGAATAATCATCAGAAGTCTCACATAAGATGAAGTTCTCCTTGAAATCTGCATGCTTAAAAGAGCTCCATTTTTTATTTTTACTTCTAGGCTCTGTCCTCCAGACTATATATGCTTGAAAATCGGGCCAAATCCTGATTACGGTTTCACTAGTTTTGATTCATTTGGCTGGGCTTTTCTTTCCTTATTCCGCCTGATGACCCAGGACTACTGGGAGCGTCTGTACCAGCAGGTATCAGCTTTGTGCATAATTCAGAACTGGTCTTCCAGGAAGAGAAAGAGCCAAAGCAGAAATTGTGTAGAGAGGACAAGAAACCTCAAGTAAAAGCAATAGGTGCAAGTCATTGAGCCCACATCCTCCCTCCTTCCTTTCTGCAAGCTGTGCCTCCCAGAAATAGACCTATCACAATGCTTGTTTAGGGACTTAAAAAACTCTAGAAGTGTCCTGTATTGTCCTTCAAACATATAGCAATGCCTCCTCAGTCATCCTCATGGGGTTTACAATCAGTTATTCCTAGGCGATAGTATACAAAGAGGGGGGAAGAAGGGCCAAGGAAGGTATATTTCCATTTAAGCTTCCTAAACCATTATGTCTAGGAAGTTGGGTGCTTCTAAAGAATTTCAGGGACACATTGAAAGACTATTTGGTGTTTTTTATGGTAATTTTTATCTCTGCGGTGTGTTGCTTACAGACCCTCAGAGCTGCTGGGAAGGTGTATATACTCTTCTTCATGCTGGTCATATTTCTGGGCTCATTTTATCTAGTCAACTTGATTCTGGCTGTAGTAACAATGGCATATGAAGAGCAGAACAAGGCCACCATTGCTGAAACGGAGGCAAAGGAAAGGAAATTTCTTGAAGCCATGGAATTATTACAGAAGGAGCAGGAGGTATGTAAATTATTCCCTTGCAAGCATTAGCCTCAGTGTCCTGGCATCAGTCACATAAGGAGAAAGCATCACTCCTTGTGTACAGCTGTGTAAAGCAGTCACTCATGGGAGCAGGAGCAAGTGATAACTTATTGAAAGTAGTGATTCCTAGAGCTACAGGAGTATTTCCATGTTCAGCTGTGTATTTTTCCCGTGAAACAATAACTTTTATTGTGGATAATGAGTATTAAAAGCTTCTGTAACTGTAAGAAAAATAATATTTTAAAATCTGGGAAGTATAAAATTCCACTAGCTAGCAGCTTCCAAAAGAAAATGTTGTTGTATTTTAATTTTTATTCAATTTTATCATTGTGGGCTGCTAAGCAGAGAAATATACGGTAATTCTGTTGATTAACTGCATTAGCATCTGAGCCAAAACCTACTGAAGTTGAATGAAAGTGTCTTGGTAACTTAAACGGCTTAGAAGCTTCTGGAACAAAAGACTCCTGTGTTTTGACAACATTGTCCTAAATTCAGTATGGGAAAGAAAGTCAGCCACAGTGTGAATACAGTCCCAAGGATCGTCAATGGAAAGACAGAATTTTAATGCTCTTTGAGCATTAATCTGGGGAAAAGGATATATTCTACAATGTCATTTTCAAATGGAGTATTTTTGTTGTAAGCAAATCTGCCATGTGGAAGAATAAGAACTCTAATGTGATGATTTTGTCCCTGGAAGGCTCAATACACACGATCATGTAACATACCGCAAATAGCATATTGTTCAGTGCTGCGTATGTTGGGGAAATCCTCTCCTCTTTCATTTTATGGAGATTTTAAAAATGGAAGATTTTTAATAAGTTTTGTGAAACACAAATTGTTAAGAGGAAATAATATACAGCACAGAAGTGTTTTCTTTCTGCTTATATTCAAAGTACCCAGCAAAAATGTCAACCATGTTTTTGTTTTAATTTCAGTCACTGGCTATTAAAGGAATTGATATCCTGTCAATTAGCTCCTTTGAAGCCTCTTCTCTGTCTCCCAAAGAAATCAAAGAAAGAAGCAACAGGAAAAAGAGAAATCAGTCCTTGGGGATAGAAGATAATGAAGAACAACAATTCCCCAAGTCACAGTCCACAGATAGTCAACGCAAGTTGGTAATCTATTGTCTGAATCTGAGATCCTTACAGCTTTTCCAGTTTTGTTACTAAAATAAATTGCTTGAAAGCACAAACCAAGTCCCATTACAAAACCCTAAAAAATCACTCTTAAATCTTTAAAATAAACAACCTTTTGGAATAAGGAAGAATTATATGTAAAAATTAATTTGAAAAAGAAGGAAATACTATAAATGAAGGATGGAAGGGAAGTTATAATAACAGTTAAAATACATTTTCTATAACACTGAGGAACAGAAAAAGGTGAATGGCTATCAGAATTTAACTTCTGTGCCATCATTCTCTGTTTAAAATTTCTCACTTCAAGCATAAATACAAAGCTTATCACAAAAATAGCTGCTGCTGCTGATAGAATTTTATTATCTGAGTTTTAAAATCTAAGCATAAACCTTCATGAAAAATCTGAACCAAATAAGAGGTTTGGACTTGCAGTGGTTGATAGGAAATGCTATGAAACTGTAAGCGTTTATTGCTTCCCCAATTTTTCTCTGTGATATTATACCATTCTCTCTATATTGCTTTTCCTGATCTTTTAGTCTTTCCTTGGCCTGGTGTACAGTCCCAATGCAAACCAGGCGAAACGCAGGCTTAGCCATGGGAGCGTGTTCAATTTCCAAATACCTTCTTTAGAAGTTGATTCCAGAACGGATTTCAGTGATGAGGAAAACCGCAGTGCTGGGGAACACAAAATCCAGTGTAGGTCGCTGTCGATCACGCAGATGGGAAGACGATCCAGTGTGCAAAGTCAAATGAGCCACAGCTCTCACCCTGCCACCCCAAACTGCGTGCACAGCAGCAAGTGGGCTAACATGGATGATTGCAATGGTGTGATTTCAGTGACGGGAGGAGGAGGCAGCAGGGTGCACAGTGTAGATCCAGTGTCTTCTGAAGGAGTAATGCTTCCACCAGTAATGGAAGACCCAGGAAAGGCGAAGCTGGTAAGGAAAATATATTATTTTCAATAAATACTTTATATTACAGTTTCTCTACAAATGGCAGGTTTTTTTCAAGAGTTTCAGTGTAATGGCAAACAGTGATATAAAATGAAATATACCGATGTGGGGAGTTCTTGAAAACCAGACTTCAGCATTATAAACCTCATTTTTCTGCTATTCGCAAGTTGTATTAACATAGTTTTGAAGGTTCCTAGTGCTGGAGTTACAAGTCACCAATGAATTTTTTTATCCCATACCCTGTCCAGTGGGAGCATTTTGAGCAGTACCTGTAATTTCTTTCTCCTTCATAGCACCTTCAGCATTATGCAGAAACTTTGTAAGTACCCCAAGTGGGCAGAGATGCTTTTTTACCAGTTTATCTCTCATATGTCTCCTTGTCAGTTAATCTCTGGAATATTTTTGATGCCTGTTTCCCCACATAGACTTATTTCCAATGTTTGTGTTTGCCCTGTTGTTACTACATCCTTGCAGGATCCATATACTGCAGTGTTACTACTGAAAAGTAAGACCTTCATTCTTAACAACTATTACATCTTGTAAAAAGGTACATTTATTTGGCTGTGTGTCATTGTTCCTTTTAACTTCCATAGTTACCCATCATCACATCCTACTTAATTTTATTCCTGTAGTATCTCCCTAATCATGTTTACTTCTTTAAGCAGCCAGCTGCAAATGATGAGAGCAGCGTGATGCATTTGCCTCCTCATCTGTCAGTGGAGTACTTTAATGAGGCACTTCAGAGACAAAGGGCAGCAAGTGCAGTTAGCATAATTACCAGTGTCTTGGAGGGTAAGTGGTTCCTCATTATGCTTATTTCAATCCTAAGGTAGTGCTAGCATGAAAGACCAAAATGTCAATACATTTCTAAAAGGTTAACAGAGATTTGTAGGTGTGTAGTTAGGTGTTTCATGTTTAATATAGCTCTTTTATAAAAAAAATAATAAAGCATTATCACACAGTTGTTTTGTACTGGAACACATTCTTTGCCTATTGTAAGATCTTTTTTTGTAGAACAGACAGTGAAGGGGATTGGAGTGAAAGCGGATGAAAAGGATTTCTCTAGCATCTGAGGTGCAGGACTGGGATACTGTTTCCTCCTCCTGACCCTGTGACTTGTGATATGTCACTGGCAGAGCCATAGGCATTCAGAATCCAACAATAAGGTTATACAAGCAAAATCAGTTGTGGCAAATCCTAGGTTCTGAATACTTAACCCCACTATTCTATTCCTTTAACTTTCCATGTGATTTATTTTGGGGTGTTTATCACTGACAGTTACTTTGATGACTGGTAGTTTTGTTGCAGATCTTACTGAAAAAATTCAGCCCAAGTTGTTCAGGATGAGGAAGTCAGTCTTTTTACATTTGGTGATAGAGGAGCTCTGTCACCAGTTCTTGTGCCAGAAGTATGGGATTTAGCAGGGGTGGCATGGGTGGTAGATCTGTTGTGGCAGGGAGGTCCTTGTTCTTAAATTTTAATATTTTTTTGTCTTCAGACAATCACAGTTGCAATACATCCAGTGGAGTCTTGCTTTGCAGTGTAATTCATAAAGGTCAGGGTTTTGTTGCACACTTTCAGCTGTGAACTGGGATGGAATAGGACTTGAAGCTTTATGTGGCTGTGGATTAACCTGAAAACAGGCATCTGAAAGGGGAGAGGAAAAGGTCTTTGCTGGGACCTGAACACCAGTTCTGCTGGATACACACTGTATACATAAAGCCATTTGATCTAGAAACATAGAGGACAAGAGCTAGACTGGGAGTGGGATTGAGTCAAGATGGTCACACTGGAATAAGCAGTGTAGGGTGGGAGCTGAGACTTGAGCCTGGAGGGGAAGAAATGAAAACTAGACCATGGGAAGAAGTAAGGATAGGTGCAGCTAAGAAAAGGATATGACTCAGATCCAGCTCATCTGATCTCTAAAAGATTTTCAGATCTCTGAAAACCAGATTACTAGTAATTCCTACTGTGCTTGTATTTAGCTTTAAGCTCCAGTTTGTCAATGAATTTGCATGGGGCTTCAGCAGAGTCAAAAGTATTTTGGAGGAATCCTTAATATTGGTGGTACAAGAAAACAGGATATGAGGTTTATGTATGGCCAAAAATGACACAGCCAGAACAGCTTCTGTCCCATGTTTTAATTACAGAAAATGGACCAGTGTGGCAATTTGTATCAGCTGGGAAATTGTAGACATGACCTTTCCAGTAGAAGTAGCCTAAGGTAAAATTTCAGGCACTGTAGTTTGTATTTGCCTCAGCTATTACCCATTCCTGTGGCTGCCATTGACTCTCTAGACTCCCTTGAGAGTCAGAGGAGACAAAAAGATGTTGGGTGTGATACAGCCACTGTCCTAGACACCTACGGAAGATGAGATGAAAAGTGCCTTGGTTGCTATATTGACCTACAAACTGTGGTTTGGCCCCTGCATCATAAACATGAATTTAGTCAGATGATTGTAATACAAGTTTAAGCCAAATAAAACCTGATCAGAAGTCTTTTGAAGTAAATTTACATTAATGCATTTTGAATCCATTTTTCTCTGAATTTTTTCTTCATGTTTACTAGCTGATGTAGGGACTACATGAATGGTAGAAAGTGGAGGGAAGCTTGGGGGCTGTGTGTGAAATGTGAGGTTTCCTTTTTCTTCTCTGGTCTTTTGAATACTTGAAATAGTAGTTTCATCATCTTGCTCAGTGATAACTAATTATAGTGGGGTTTTCTTTTGCATTTAGAACTTGAAGAATCTCGGCGGAGATGCCCACCCTGCCTGAATAATTTTGCTTTAAAGTATCTAATTTGGGACTGTTGCCCACTTTGGGTGAGAATCAAGACAAAAGTGGCTGCTTTCATAAAGGATCCCTTTATTGATCTCACCATCACTGTTTGCATTGTGATGAACACTTTGTTCATGGCACTGGAGCACAATAATATGTCAGATAATTTTAAAACAATGCTTAATGTAGGCAACTTGGTAAGCAAATTCTCAGCTGTGTGACATTTTACACCAAGGGTTGATTGATGGGTGTTTTCACTTGAGACAGAGTAACCGTAAAAATTAAAGATTAGCAAACTCTGCATTTATAAACTCTAAATTTCTAATATATACAATTTCCAGATTTTATCAATATACTTCTAACACACTCCTGAGAAGGAAGAAATCAATCTTCCCATTTTAATTACAAGTGTATTAGAAGTTCATAAAAATGGGTTTTGTTGACCTGCCCATGAGTGTTACTTGCGGGAACATGATCTAAAAGTAAGACAAATTCATGGCTACTTTTTAGGCTGATGCTACTCTTTCTTTGTTACAGGTTTTTACAGGAATCTTCACTGCGGAAATGATTTTAAAAATCATTGCTTTAGACCCCTATTACTACTTTCAGCAGCCCTGGAACATTTTTGACAGTATAATTGTCACATTGAGTTTAATTGAACTGAGTTTACCCAAACAAAAAAGCAAGAAAGAAAGGCGAAAAGGAGGAACCCTGTCAGTTTTAAGATCCTTTAGACTGGTAAGCTTCACACTTAATCAGTTGTATAAAACTTTACGTTGTGAATATAATAGAGAATACTTCTGTTGTCTGCTGTTAGGATGTAGGAAATTATTACTTTTAATATTTTTTTCTTCTTCTTGGCACTAGGAATAAGAAGCACACTCTCAAACTACTTGTGATATTAAAGCCAGAGCTTAAATGACATATTTCTTCTGAACATGCTAAGAAAAAGTCAGAGGAAAAAATATTCCAGAATAGTCATGTTATAAAACTGGTGTCAAAAATATAAAAACCAGCACAGGAAACTTAGAAAAAAGTGTCAGAGTACAAATACAGAAAACCCCCAATTCTTAAATATAGATGTGAAATGATGTTAAGGTATTCATAGTATATAACATGGACTGATTTAGGTTGCTGTACTGAAAGATAAGCTCCTTTTATAATAATAAATATAATAATAATGTTGGTCTTCCAGCTTTGGTCCTTTGTGTTACACCTAAGTTATGCACCATAATCTACATCAGGTGCATTTTATGGATACCTACCTGTGAGGGCCAAAGACTTATCAGGGACTCTAGTTGAACTGGTCATTTATGAGGTGGTTTATGCTTGCCATGTTACTCAGGTAAAGAAAACCAACAAAACAAATCTATGAATACTTTTAAGAAGTTTTAGTGTCACAGTGCTGCAAATATTGCACATTGAAGTCAGAATATCTAAAGTGTTTTTTGCAGGATTTGAATGGTGCAAAGATGGGTTATCTCTACTGATGTCTAACACTATGTTTTATGTTGCTACGCAGCTGAGGGTCTTCAAACTGGCAAAGTCCTGGCCAACCTTAAACACTCTAATTAAAATAATTGGTAACTCCCTGGGAGCACTGAGTAATCTGACCCTCGTCCTGGCAATCATCGTTTTCATTTTTGCTATAGTAGGGGTGCAACTTTTTGGGAGGAGCTATCTGGACAACAGCTATAAAATAAACAAATATGGCAAGCCACGCTGGCACATGATGGACTTTTTCCACTCATTCCTCGTTGTTTTCCGAATTTTGTGTGGAGAATGGATTGAGACCATGTGGGACTGCATGGTGGTTGCTGAACCACCACTATGCCTTCTTGTCTTTCTGCTGGTCATGGTGATAGGAAATTTAGTGGTGAGTTTTCCAGTATTTTTTTCTCTTCATCCTGTCTATAGTTGAATCTACTGAATTGCTATTTTTTTTCCCCCAACAAAAGATAGTTTCCCTAAACACAGGTGGAAAAGTTACCTGTGTATGTTGTGGTCTGCAAAAGCCCCTTGCCTGTTGCCTTGGAGCCACTAACCGTATTTCCACAGTTTGTGTGCTTTGCACACAGCATCACTCGACCTTTGCATGTGGCAATGTGATGATGAATATCTTTGCAGTGAATGTAACACAGGCAACTATTTTTCTTCACATCTTGGGATTTGGATGTAAATAATCAGTAAGGCTTATGGTTTACCTACTTCAATTAATGGAGCTAAATGCTTAAGTCCTTCTGTAAATCAAAAAATCGATACTTTTTTCTTTTCAAGATCTCATGCAAGTATTGAATTCTTTATTAGCAAATGGCAGAATCTATACTCCTATCACTGAAATCAGGATTTTATTTAGTCATTTCTAAGTACGTTTATATTGAAAAGCTAATTTGAAGAAGGGACATTATTAAACTGCCAAGCCACGACCGTAATCTTTGTTACTACTATAATCTTTGACAAGTTGTTTTGGCTGAATAATGCATGTGGCATTGTCGTGGTTCAAGCCCAGCCGGCA